TGAAATGGACCAATTCTTTAAAAGACACAAACTACCAAAATCATAAAAGCAGACACTGACTCCCAGGGCCTCTTCCCGCCAGCTTCAGCACACCAAAGCCAAACCTCTAAGTGCTCATCTCTTTGGGAGTCTATACAAGCACCTCAAAGCCCTAAGTCTCTCACCACATGGATCAATCCAGACCTCTTGTGACTCCTTCCAGAATTCTATCAGAATCTTCTCAGCCAAAAGAAAATACAACTCCCTCACAAATCCAACACATCTTGGTAACAACTAAAATCTGAAAAGAATCAACTGGGGATACTGGAAATAATTTTCTTGGTAATCTTGTAGATATCTAAACCCATCACCATGTGTCATGTCCCTGGTACCCTCTTTTACCACCCATCTACCCACTATTCATCCTTTTCCTATGTCTTTATCCCCTTACTACCCTGTGCTTCCGCTTCCCAATTTGCCCTACCAGTGGCTCCTCTTCTTCCCAAATATTTCTGCCATGACTTCTGGAAATCAGATTTCAGGCTTAATAAATCCTGCTATATTTTCAAATTCTTCAACACTAATTTCCTCCATTTTCTATATCTTAACATCTTTCTCCCCTGCAATTCCCTTCTCTTTGTAAACCTCAAGACGTTTAGTAAATATTATGTAAAATTACTTCATATAGTATTTTGTTTTCATCTATTTCACTTATCACCATATCTAATAAGCATGATGAGTCAGTAAATCAAATGGATACCATTTGCAAAGGAATAACTGGTAGGAGTCTTGAAGAAACAAACACTGGTGGGAACACAACAGTCTTAGAAGGTATTTCATAGATTTATTTCTAAGTTTTATAAGGCACCATACACATACAATTTAACCTTCCCTAAAATGAAAAGTTCCCTATTCTCAAAATAAAAGGTGATTTTTCTCCCTGATTTGTATGACAAATAATGTACTTTAGTTTTTAATTATATATAGAAATAAATCATATAGCTATAACAACAGCCATAACAACATATACTTTGAAATAACTACAGTCTGTAAGAAGAAATAGCAAAGCAAGAGAGGTCTGCAAATATAATTAGATATAAGTTGGCAAAAATCCAACTAAAAATTTCATAATAAAAGATAGCAGAGGGGCTCAGGGAATCCCACTTTCGGATGTGATCTCTCCTCAGTTGTCATACCAACACCAAATCCTTTTGTTGGTGGTTAACAGGCTGGCTCATCTGTGTGGGGCACTGGCACACAATAATAGTTATGTTCTAACTCACAAATGACTATACTTCATTGAGCTTATGCTCAGTAGGGCAGTGTTTGCTAACCACTTAGATTCCAGGATGGAAAGAGCTACAAAAATGAAACATGCAGTTCTTCTCTGAGGTTTGTTATTAGCCTCTGTTAGCCACAGGTTACAAGGCACTAAACACTACGTACTGTGTGTTTGCTTGTAACCACTATGAAAAATAGTCTATAACATCTTTCTGAAGACTCCTAGAAAATTTAAGGCAATTCTAAACCTGGGAATTTAACTGGGATATACTTGAATTCTTAGAACAGTTCTTGTCAAAATATCCCACTAATTCTTTCTTGGGTGTCAATTCAATTTTGTTTCACACAGTACTACTCAACAGACTATTTAATACTAAAGTTTAATGCTATTGGGGGGGAGGGGAGTGAAGATGATAAAATAATCAGTTTTATTTGAAACTAAATCAATTTCCAAACAACAAATAAGCTTCTTCATGGATGTTTTAAAAAAAGATTCACTAACTTAATAGCTCTGATGGTTTTAAGATAATTATTTTTATACCCAATATATAAACTAGAGAATCTAAAATAAAATCCTAATAATACATTAAATTGATGTCCTCAAAACAGTTCATCAAAACATTATTTATGAAGAGTTCTATCCTGTAACGTGTTTGCTAAAATATAAAGTATTCATGAGATAGGTAACAGATAGCATCAACAACTCTAGAAACAATATTGATCCACTTTGAAGAATAATTATATGATATAATATAAAGTTAAGTATATTTAAATGCTACTAGAATTATTTGAAAGTATTATTCTTGAAAAGTAACATTTCCCCTAATTTATGGTAGTGAATTGTAGTTAGAGCTTCTCTGACCTGGATAAAAAAATTACACATATTTTAACAAGAAACTACTAGTAAATGCACTTTATATATTTTACATAGCATTTAATTTAAAATCTCTGGAAAGAAAAGAAAATTTATTATATTATCATTAATTTATGACAATTCATTTTATCATCTCAGAATTACTAGTTTCCTGAGACACTTTCATGCAAATGTTAATGGACCTCTCAGAAGTACTATATTATATTGTTGTTTAATAAAACATGGTATATGCTTACAACATTCACAGAAATTGTAAAATATAAATAAGACACCATCAAACAGAAAAAAGACCACCTTCAAAATAGAAATCTTACATAACAAGTTCTAAAAAATATATAGCATTCTCTTCCTCCCAAGATATGAGGTGAATTAGAAGAGAATAGAGAAATTTTACTAACCTCAAATACTCTCAAAAAAGATGGAAATTTCTGAAATTTCTACAAATTTGCCCACAATGCCTACTAATTATAAGCAGGTATGTAATAGTATAAAACATACTCTGTACAAAAGATGATGTGAGGGGATGTCATACAGTATGAATGTACAAAATGCCACTAATTATATACTTTAAAATGGTTCATTCTATATTACGTGAATTTCACATTAATATTAATTTTTATATACCATAATTTTATAACATTAAGAAAACTTTAAATAATTTACGTATATCAAATAATAATTTTTAATGACTTTACATATGGTAAAATTAAGATTTCAATACATGAGTGTAATATTTCCCTAAGTTTTAAATGAATTAATTAATTAAATTTTATCTTATTTTCGCTGAGATGCATAAAATCTTCCTGTTCTCCACTAACTCTAGCTCCATCTATAAAACATAAAGATTTTATTTGACACTCAGAATCAAATATCATAAGAAGCTTGACTAATCTAATTTTCTTTTTTTCTTTTTAATCCAATATGTGTCCTTGAAGATAGATCTTAATGGAGCAACGTGGATAGAGATTTTTATTTTCAAATCCCATTTTACCAACTATGTGAAACAAGGACTGTTGATTTCCACAAATCTCTGTTCAGCAATTTTTCTTTAGCTTAATATCCACTTTAAAGATAATCAGTTTAAAACAAAAAATTAAACAACAATAAAGACAGAAACCAAAACCTGAGATGTACCTTTTAAGGAAAAAAAAAAAACATGCATAAAGTACCAAGTCGTATGGTCACAAGAGAAAATGTTAAGTGAGCAGGAAGGCTTTTCAGGAGACAAAGAACAATCTATCTATAAATATAAAACCCTAAGTGACTGTTCAACCGTTCAGCCAGTCATAATGATGTGCACTGACCACCACGGGGCAAACGCTCAATGCAGGAGCTGCCCCCTGGTGGTCAGTGCACTCCCACAGGTGGGCACCAGATGCGGGGCTCACAGTTGGCTAGCGCTGCTGCAGTGGCACGAGCCTCTCCCATGGACAATCCCCCTGCATGCCCTTCCTCCATCTGGACCAGGACTGGGATTGGGACCGGCATCAGGACTGACTGGGTACAAGGCCGCGGCCGCTTCTCGGTCATGGGCACACCGGTATCTCCCTAGGACGGGCGCGCAGAGACCGCAGCAAAGCAGCAGCAAGCCTACTCAGCAGCAGCAGGCAGCAGACACAGCAGGGCCAGGATGAGCAATAGCGGCGCAGTGCCCAGCCTGGGTTTGGACTCCTCCCCAGTGGCCTGCCACTTCGCACACTACTACATCCCTCAGGGGATACTGGACTGCCGGTTTTGGCCTGATCCCCACAGGAGGGACCCCACCAGTGCACAAATCCATGCACCGGGCCTCTAGTGTAGAAGAAAAGGCAAAGAAGAGTTTTAAGAACCCAATCAATGTATCAATCATATAAAAAGCAAAAGTAGGGCCTTTATACATGATCAGAACCATATGAGCCTCATTTACGTTAAAAAATAATTCAGAGAATCTCTTTTTCATCAAAAATCAAAGTAATAGTATTTAACAATCATCAAACTTCATGAAGAAGAGTGCTTAACATTATCTGTCTTCATATTCTAGATTCATTTCTTATAGGCAACATAGTTCTACATAACCAAGTTCTTATTATCCCACTAAAAACATCAAACTCCTCCCAGTGCCTGAGATGATATGAAGGAGACACACTAATTAAAAGTGGAAGAAAAAGCAAAAATTAATAGCATGTCCATAATTAACTTTTTAAAGTATACTACTACCATGCACATTCCCTATTTATACAATATTTTAATTTAAAAACATGTCTATATAAGCTCATGTTGCCAAATAATTTTTGTTATATAATATACACATTTTCTTCTGAAAAGCCATCATTATATTAAAATATTGTATGTGCTTCATATATATAATTAGTCATACTTAGTTTTCTGATATAATATAGTGATATATCTATTAAATCTGTAGAACTATAAATATTTAGCAGACTAGTTCATATAACAAAAATACAGACATAGAAATATGCTTTTTGTCCTCATAATTTAAATGAAATGACATTTTCCCTTTCTATATTTTTTATTCATTCAGCTTATATATTTTGAAAGTTTTCACTATTCTGAAGTCAGCTAATAAATATCACGGTAACAATTATCATTACATTTATTCAACTGCTGATAATAATATCATGTAATATAAGTAGCATATGAAAGCTATTAGAGTCACAGCAGTTCCTTAATCCAAATCATTCCAAACAATTTGGGAAGGATGAAACCAAAGGATTAGCATAAATATAAATTTAGTTTCTCTACATATCAAATAGAAATCATGTCCAAAAAAGTGTGTGTGTGTGTGTGTGTGTGTGTGTGCCCAGTTAAGTGTGTTTGTGAGAAGAGTATTTTCAATATCAGAATAATCACAGAATTCATGTCATACCTGGGCTCCATAGATATATTTATCCAACATCTTGCCTCCTATTGTCTGCCCTCCTATATCCCAAACTTGAAGTGTAACATTCAAGTTTCCTAAAATAAGGAAAACAAAAAAGGAAAATAAAAGAATACAAAAAAGTTAAGTAACAATGTAACAATTGAATCCAGTTTCACAGAACATTAAATCACAATCATAAACTCTGAACCTAATTTGCCTTTTATTATACAGACTCATGTAGTCAGATATTCGGAAGAATAAAGTAATGTTACCAAAAGAAATCACAGTGGAAATTTAGGCTTATGCTTTTACCCCATTTCCATGGAACCACATTTTTAATTATCTTTAAAACAAAAGAAAATAAAGAAAGCATTAATTCATAAATTTCTTAAATCTTTTTTTAAATATATTTTTCTTGATTTCAGAAAGAAAGGGACAGGAAGAGATAGATAGAAACATCAGTGGTGAGAGAGAATCATTGATTGGCTGCCTCATGCACGCCCCTCACTGGGGCCCAAAACCAGGCATGTGCCCTTGGCCGGAATCGAACCTGGTACCCTTCAGTCCGCAGGCCAACGCTCTACTCACTGAGCCAAACTGGCTAGGGCAAATTTCTTAAATCATAAAAAATTTTTCTTGAACAGAAAATAGAACAATATAGTATTTGTAACTGGAACAAGAAAGATACTTTAAAAATAAAAATTGAATTTTATATACTAACCTACCCTATTGCACATAATGAATTTTACTGTTAAGTTCCATACTCTAAAGGTTCTAAAGCCCACAGAATGATAATAGACAACAAAATGAATCCATAGTTTCAACTTGAATAAATTTTTTAAATTTAAATGTCAGCTATTATATGCAATAGTAAACATAATAAAAAAAACACATGTTTTCAAATTTAACTTATAAAATACAAACACAATCGATTATCCTCTTCAGAAGTGAGGTAGGGTACATACCACATGTATCACTAAATATGATGCATTTATACCTGTTCAAAGCATTTCCATTGAAACAAATTATATGTGCTTTCAAAGCCTTCATAAAATCAGCTTTATGATGCTTCTTCCATGCACAAACATTATAAAAATACAAATCAATCTTTAAAATTTTGTAGTTGATTTTGCAAATTATTGATAAACTACTCTCTCTAATCAATACAATTAATGACTAGAAAAAGACCATGTTCAATATGCTTTGTAGTTTAACATTTCAAACTATTTCTTCTAATAAAATTATGCAGTTTTCTCCAAAGGTAGGCAAAATTTCAGTATCTTCAAAATGAGTTCCCTCACCAAAAATGTATCTTCCTAAAAAATTTGCAAATCAGAAAAACTCAAAATAAAAACTTAGAAACTAAAAAATTAGTGTCACCTCAAACACAAAAAAAAAAGAAGAGAAAAGGACTATAAAATATATGAATTTTTATACCAATGTAAAACAATAAAATCGGAAAATGTTAGTCAAACCATTCAACTTTACAACTGAAAGGAAAGCACAACACTGGACTAACCAGCCAAGTTTTGCCCTTAACTCTGAGTTTTGGGTGTTGGGTATGCATTACAATCTTTCCATTATTTGGATGTAGGTCTGTTCATCTGCCAACATGCAGAGGATTTACATGAGGAACCTCCATTAGCATTAATGAGAGCTACTGAAGTTTATCACCTGTCATCATTCCCACATACACTCACTTTTGACGTTCACAGAGTAATGACAGAAATGTTTTTAAGCTCTATGAATACGAAAACCAAAATGTCACAGACTAAGACTTGTCCAACAACTTGTAAAAACATAATTTCTTAAAAATCTAAATTTTTCAAAATTCAAAGCTGAACTCATTCCCCTATACTGCTGTCTCAAATTAAGCAGGCAGGGCTAGCCATCATTAGAATTATATCAAATAATTTCAGAAGCCCTTAGGTAAACAGGCAGTATTCCACTCATTTTATTTGGAAAAACTCTTTACAATCAGTATCTAAAAATATTAATATTTTTACAGTAGGGTTTTTGGCAACACTTAATAAAATACATCTACTCCCATTTTTTTCAAGGACAGTAAAACCTATCACTTAATTTCATATGAAGATATACTAAGCCTTTTTCCTTTAAGTTCTGATATTCAGGTCCTATCTGAATTAAGTGTTATGAATACTTCAACTATAACTTTAGGAACATGATCTTCATGACATGTTTTCAAATTCTGAGGACAATCACCTGAAGACTCTACATCATTTATTCAACTGTCTCCAAGAGGTTTATACTGTATTTATGTGTTGAGGGTATTTTTTAAACCCATACCTTTCCGAATAAGCACTCTTTTGTGGTTGGCTTGTTTTTTTTTAATATACATATTCTAGTGCTTCAGAAATAAAAACTGCTATGCATTACTGATAACCCATTAACATGCAATGCTAGCAAAAGAACAAAGCAAAAAAGAAAATTTCTACTACCATTACCTCAACAAATATTAACTTTTAATTATTACATATATCTAGAAATATAATTTTAATTGCCACATTTGAATTTGAGATTAACACATAAAAATAAAAATGAAATCACATAAACATGGAATTCAAATCAACATCACTTTAGTTTCTGCACACATAGACATGAAGTCTCCCAGTATATTTTCAAAATAGCATACCTATGAAGCTATATAAATAACTAATATTTAAATAATATTGCAAAACTTTTAAAAATCAAGAATCTATCTAATATAATTTTCTAATAAAAAAACATTAAGAAAATTGCCAGCAATCTAATCCCAAATCAAAATTGTACAAAATTCCTGCTCCTTTGTAAGAAAAGACATGTAACTAGAGAAAAAAAATAAATAAATGAGGTGACAAAATACAGGTAAGTTTCTTTTGGTATGAATCAAAGCCACAAAGAGGATTCAACAGTGACCTTATAAAAGTACACTTGGTGCCTTGGTTAACCTTACTTAAAGTGCTGCATAGTCAAGATGGAACTAAAAACACAAGTCTGCCCACTTCTTGTACTAAAGACTTAGAAATCCTTTTCACAGTAGAACGCTGTTTACTGGACTGTACCCACAAGCTTCCTGAAAGTATTTTGACTAAGGCTCTTAAGAAGCTCTATCAGCAGAATCTCTGACAAACAGATAGACTATTTTAAGCAGTAAAATCTGCACAGTGGTTGCATCCAGACTATACAGCATACCAGATCATGAAATACACTAAAATGGATGAGTATTTGCAAAGTAATGACTTTGAAAACGTGCATGAAGAGAATGTGAATAGCTGGACAGGCAGTATTACGCTGCTAACAATCTGAAAGGACATAAGAGTTACTGGAATACTAATAAATACTAGATTTGATTACTATGCTTCTTTAATATAAATCCCATAATGCTACCTGCAATGTTTTAGCAAAGGATACAAATATTGATCATACTATATTTAACAGTTACAATGAATTAAAATTAAGGTAATGTATATTAAGGATATACTATGACTTTGTAATTTACTCACCTTAATAGGTAAATTATTTCTTAATTTACCAATTAATTATATAAAATCAAGATACATTAAAACTATTTTTTCCTACTGAAATTTCTACCATAATGTCTACTTAATAGAAATAAATCCAATTGCCTTTTCAAAAAAAAGGAAATTTCTGGAACTCTGCCCATCAAAATAAAACTGAATCAGGAAAATTAAAATATACATTCATTGAATATACATTTCCTAACATCATTTTTTAACCTAAGTACTTTCTAACTCTAAAATATTAAATTATAAATTTGAATTTCAAAAATACCAAACATTTTTTGCAGAGTAATCAAAATTTAAAAATTGATTAGTATTGTGCAACAGATCAGAAATCATCACATCTATCAAATATATAAAATGTCCAAAATTAGTCTTAAAATGTTTTTAATGTTTGAATAGGTACTTGCTCCTTTATTTAAATGTCTGAACTAGCCGAACCGGTTTGGCTCAATGGATAGAGCTTTGGCCTGCGGACTGAAGGGTCCCAGGTTCGATTCCGGTCAAGGGCATGTACCTTGGTTGCGGGCACATCCCCCGTGGGGGGCATGCAGGAGGTAGCTGATCGATTTCTCTCAGTGATGTTTCTAACTCTCTATCCCTCTCCCTTCTTCTCTGTGGAAAATCAATAAAATATATTTTAAAAAAAATGTCTGAACTAAAAAATCAGAAAAATTAAACAATATTAATGATACAGAAAGATGGTGTTTTTGCTAATTAGCATCAAAAGAACATAGTCAATACCTAAGTACATTCTGGGATTCCCTGTGTACGACTGGCACTTCTGAAAAAAACTGCTCTAAAAGTATGTTTTCAGCATGTATATTATGTGATAATGCATGTATTCTGCTAGTGACTGCTGTAAATATTATGAATGTAGCAGTAACCTACCCATAAGAGTGAGAATGATGAAAATAAAATGAGATTTTTGGTTTTTAATACATTAAAAGAAAATACAAGTGAAACTAAATATGCATGTTTCTCATTTAAACCTCTTGTTGAAAAATAACTCCATTAATAGAATATTAGAATTCTTTTCTCATACTGTGTCTTCTAATTTCTTTTTCTAAATACAGATCACCACAAAATATAAGAGCTTATTACTAGTAAGATTTGCAGAATACCTTAAATTACCAAGAGTTTTCATTAGCTGTTCCAGAACTCTCATGGAGAGCTGAGAGATGGGGTGCTTGAGAGGTTAAAATATTTTCATAATATTAGATTTTACTAAACCCTTTCCACTATCACTCATATCCCAGGACAGCATTCTGACACTACACTTGCAACTGTTTTTATTCAAATGGGTTTCCTCAGAGAGGAGAGGGATACACTAGTTTATAAGGCTAATCAAGATAAACTGCTTTTAATAAAATACTTTAAACATATAATTTAACCATCACAGTGAATGGACAGAAAATTTTAAAGCCCCAATTGTTCAGTAACTAACTTAAAACAGAAACCACTCTTTTTTTGTTATTATTTCCCTGTATTTCCCACAAAATGTGCTGCTACTGGCATCTAAATAGTTTCTTTGCATGGTGAACTGAAACATCTTGAATGCTCAAACTGTATTTTTATGAGTGCCTAGGGACCCTAAATTTTAGTGGTCTATTAAATGCCAGCAATTTCATGCTGCCTTGCATAAAACAGCATTCACATATTAGAGCACAGAAGTTCCATAGCTACATTATACTTCTGGTCCAACTTTCTCTCAAACAAAAAACTGAAGCAGAGGCTAATCAAAATAATATTTTAAAAAAATAATCCTTTCCAGCCTTTTCCATTTACTTTATATGGTATCTGTTGATAACAGTATAGCGTTTGATTTTTTTAAAATGTTTTAGAATTTTATAAGCAACTATTGTTTATCCTCAAAAAATCTGTAGTAGTCAAAAATAGTAGGAGAGTAGAGAAGTATTCATATATAAACTTTATTCTCACACCATGGACAATGTCTTCATGGTAGATGCTGATGAAAATTAATCTCCCTAAATAAACAGACTGATTACACATATTTTCATGTAGAAGCAATCCCAAAATTTATTTTACACATTTCTGCCTATGTCTCTTATTATAAAATATGCACAATTTTCTATATTAAACTTTTAGTCTCTTACCTGGCAATGTTATCCTTCTCAAAAAGAAATCCAGTCCTATAGTTTGTTTGTACTGTTTCCCAAAAGTTTCTTGAGCAAAACACGTAGCTAGGGAGGTCTAAAAAATTAATGCACATAATATCAAAATTAATGTCTTTGTTTTAGAAATTTAACATCACATCACTACTAAATCTTATTCAGTAATATTAATATTACTATTAATATTAATACTCCCATTAATCCAACAACTTTAAGCTGTTGTAATCAGTTTCAAGAGGAAGAGGAACTTAACACGCCACCAGGTAAACTTCACTTGCCAACAGCTATCAGTGGAGACAACAAACTGCTAGATCTCTTTAAATCTGCAATGTCAAGCTCCTTTTCCTAGCTGGAAATTAGAATTTGAAATGTATCAACAGAGAAAACTAAAGCATCATGATAAAAGATCTGAATCTTATATATCCATATATATCAGTTCAATTCAAATTTCAGAAAACTCTTAAGTTTATTTTTGCGGTTAAATAATTTGAGTAGTTTGTGCCCTCAGCCAATAATAAAAAATGATCAAGGAGGGAAAAGACTGTTTATGTAATTTCTTTTCTTCTCCCCCTCCCCACAAGAAAAGTATCATTAAATATCTAATTTGTCTCTATATTAAAGCTGTTAAAATAATGAAAATAATTCTATATAATAATTCTGATAATATATAATCCTTAAGTGAAAAAGTTGATAGTTTTAAATTAATATTAAGCAAGCAAAAATAAAAGTTTTCCAGCCATGAACCTTAAAAGTCATAAGAATATTATAACCAGAACAAGTATATACAGTATCTACATTATTTTAAAAGCTCAAAAGTTGTATTCAAAATTCTAAGGTTTTACCATTTCTTATCAAAGCAAAAGAATAATTAATCATTCTGGTAACAAGTAAAATAAGTCAGCTTACAAGCTTCTTAAACATCTTAAATGCACTATTTATTTGTAAACTCTCCCAAATAGAAGAGAAAGACAGCTTCATGAAGGTTTTATGCACTTCAAGACTCCCAAAGTTAAGGAAAAATGGCACTTTGGTTTGAAAAGTTAAAACTAGATGTCAACTCCTAAATATTTAAAATTAAGATAAAATTTCCTAGATAGCGCATTATAATTACGACATAAGTATAGCAGTGCAAAAGAAATTCTAATCAATTTCAATTCCTTTAAACAAAACAACCTAAAACTCCTTTTGACACAAGAAACATATTTCTCACAGAAATGGCAACTTGCATGCCTATCTCCAATTCCTTTATAATAGTTAAATACTCAGCATTCATAATAAATTTCGAAGACACTTGGTCAAATATTTACTGAGCACTACGAGAAGGATGTTCTGCTAGACAATGAGAAATAAACTCACTACACCAAAATGAAAATTTATTTGGCTTCCCTGAAGCATATAACAATACCATAAAAACTGAGAAATCAGAATTAAAAAGGTAAAGTACTCCTTTTTAAACTCTTTTTTCACTTTAGACTTATTTATGCCATTGGACTTAATTCAGAACACAACTCATCTGTGAAGAAGCTCAGAGTTTCTAGAGAAAAATAACTCATCACTACTGCTACAGATATTTCAAAATGTTTAATACATGGATGGCTGAAATATTTTAAGTCAAAAAGAAACTCAGAGCATATGTAACATCAGCATAATGTCTTTTAAGGTAATTTTTCACTTTAAGATTCTCAAAGTTCAATGTTTTTATACTAATGAATATTCAGAACAATTCTAAGGTTCTTTTCTTAGAAACTTCTACCCACACTTTTGAGGCAAAATTAGGGTTTCAAGTGAAATGAAGTATAATCTATCAAGAATACCGGTCATTGGGCACACAAAATATTAGAATGGATTCTTGTATCATCTCCGGACACTTTATTATAATTAGTATAAAATTAAACAGGATCAACCAAATCAATGGGAGGCACTTCCTCCTCAATTATGTAGTCTTGATACTATTTTTCAGATCCAGTAATTTCTCACACATCATTGTATAAATATGGGTCTTAAACAAGTATAAAATGAGCAACCATCTACCATATCTGAAATATTTCATCTCATTCTGTGGGGTTTTTGTTTGTGTTATGGTTTGGTGAACATTTTGCCAACAATTTTTAACCACACTATACTTATTAATACTGAAAAGACACCATAAAGAATGTTTTGCCTTAACAAAATCTTTAAAAATATGCAATGAAATCAAAAGTGAGAATCAAAACAGGAAAGAGGTAGAAATGTGTGTTACTAGGGGGAGGAGCTAAATTTCTCTTGGAGAGACTGTTGGTGGTGATCTCAATCTATTCTCTCAGTATGTATCAAAATGCTGAGTTAGAACTAGCAGATACACTCAAGCTAGAAAAAATGGCCAGGAGTTAAAGCAGGATACAAATCAGAATGAAAGAGAGGCTGAGTTCATAAAAGAAAAGGAAGTAAAATGGCAATGTTGGTAGCTGCCAATAATTTGAGAACTGAATGGGGTATGGAGAAAAAAACTTGATACATGAATAATGATAAAAGGTCAGGTTTCTGATGCTTGTATCTGAAAATTTTGGACCCAAAAACTCTTACGGTTTAAAAATAGATGATTCAAGATGTTGAAAACTAAGTCAAAACACCATAATGAATATCACTGTTATCCTTTGAAGCAGAATGATAGTCCTTCCACAATACAGAAGGGAGAAAATATGCTTTGTCCTACACAAAATTTTAGACAGAGATGAAAAACCATAATCATTCACACTAAATTAACAAGAGGAACACATGTATAACAGGCTAAATGAAAAACCTACAGAATTATGAACAAATTTCAACTGAATAATACACCTATGATAATAGGTAAATACTGGGAGAAATAAATAAAAGTTTAAAGAATTATGATAGAATGTAGGATAATGGGCAATTTTTTGTCTTTACAAGTGTATTAGTGCTATAGATTGTCATTACAATTTTAAGCAGGAAATAAATTATTTGACTGTAAAAAATGTATAATGAAAAATTACAAGGCTTTCAAAAGAAAATATGAAGAATGAGAAAACTAAAATGTAACCTAGATTTTTATTGAATAACGGTGTTAGAAACAATTCATACATTCAAAAAGTTGTTTGAAGTGTACAAAAACTCCTATAATTAATACTTTATAACGAAAAGTGATCCCAAGTTCTTCTCATCCCCAAAATGCTTAAGGCAACAGCATATTTAGTGGGTTTTCCTCGGCAGTAAAAATCAGTAACAAAATACAGAAGGCAAGAAAGAAATTAACAGAATTCTCCAAATTCTGCACATGAATCACATGTTCCCCAAGGGCCCTGGGAACCCAAAGCACAGAACCAAAGACACGGACACCAGGGTCCAAACCATGCCGGGAGCACGGAACAACAGTGAGGGTGAACATGGGAAGCTGGTGCTGATAACCTGAAGGCTCTGGCTGGGGGGCGGGAGGGGAGAAGAAAGGAGACAAGCTCGAGCGGTATTCCCAGCAACAGTGTCGGCGCCTCGGGCAGAAGCGACAGGTGCGATGGCACCGGGCAGAGACCCTCCCTTTCTTCTAGGGAAGGGGGGGGCGGTCACAGACCCCTTGGAGATCCCAAGGACTGAGCTCTCCGAAGAGCAAACACCGGGCGATGTTTGTTCCATTTCAGCAGCTCCACAGCGTTGGGTTACAAACCCCCGGCCTGGCCTCGGGCGGGCGTCAGTCTGGGGACCCGCCGCCGCCGAATATTCCCACGCCCTGGCTCCCATTCATTCCACCGAGCCTCGCGGAAGGCTCGACTTCCGGGCAAGGACCCCCTGGGTCAAGCTAACAGCTCTACCCCCGGCATCCAGCCCCTCATAGGAAGGAGCTCAGCAGGGATTTGGGGGATGAATGCTTGAGCTGACAGGTGCTGTCCTGGAAAGAGAGAGGAGCGGGCATGATGCTGGGAAACAGCAACTAACGCTGATGGGGTGCACGCTGCGTGCTGGGAGCTAGTTGTGGCTTTTCACGTGGAGTGTGCACTTGCACGCTTCGGGCTGGGAGGCGACCCCTGTGCATCCACCCCCCGCGCCCCGCCCCGGGCGCCCCCCTTACAGAGGAAGCACGACCAGGTGAGCAATTTGCACTCCGCGGACCTGACCAGTGATTCTGGGGGATCGTATTCCAGAGCCACGCTCGTGGGAGCCCCCAGAGAAGTAAGTGGAGGCATCGGGCACGGGAAGGGGGAGGGGGAGCGAAGTGTGGCCTGAACTAAGGAACTGAGATGCGCAGCTCTGGCCAGATCCCTGCCCATCACCAGACGGAGGCTGGACAGCTTCCTGGGAGGCGAGGCCGGCGGAGTCTGGAAGGACAAGCAGGAGTTCGCGCTGCATCGGGGAGCTGAGAAGTGACCTTTTTAAATGGGTATCATTTCAGGGGAGAGGGGAACGCTCTCGCCAGCCATTACCAAGCGCCTGCTTCGC